AAATGATAAATAAAGGAAAATAAAGGAAGTTATCATGCAAACCAGTGGTTGTGTGGAGTATTTTACAAAAGTTTAGTGGATTTAAGTTAATTTGTAAACATTATTTCATGTATAAAGTAAAAAATAAGCTATATTATAATAAAAATGAAACAACCCATTATGATGGGTTAAATAAACAACCCAATTTGCTGGGTAAAATTAACCCCATATGTGTTCTGTCCTATATTTACTCAGCCCTTGGGTTAAAAACAACCCAAATTGGGCTGTTTTTAACCCAGTGGTTTTTAGAGTGTTGTATAATTCGATAGCGAAAAGTGCTACCTATCAGATTTTGCTTCCAGCATGATATTAATAAGGTGTGAGTCTTTATTAACATGTACACCTACCCCAACCCTAAACCTACCCTTACAGTAGGATAAATACATTGTTGGTATAATCTGATAGGTAGCATTATTTGTCTGAACACCGGCAATGAGATCTTTGGTACTGTATCAAGTGTGAGTTGCAAGTGTGATTGTTAGATGTTCTGCAGGCATCTCAGCTCAGTGTCTGGAACTCTGAAACTGACATTTTGGCATCTGGAAGTTATTACCATTATTTTTTTTCCCTTGGAAAACAATTACTTTCTATGACAATGCATATTATTATGTTTATATTGCTTTTGTTTAACAATAAGGCTAATTATTACTGTCAAAACGCAGAATCAAAACAAAATGTAATAATATATTCTGCATATCAGTTATAGGTCAAGTAAAATAAAAGTGTAAGAGAATGTGAATGAATATTGATCGCTCTCTCTCCAGGGTGTATGTTATTAACAATGTTGAGAGCAGATAACACAATTTAAAACAAGAAGAAACATAATACCTTACATGTGGATATTTACATTACTTTGTGGTGGGGGGTGATATGAAGCGGTGGGCGGAGGATGTGTCTTAAGACAGCCCCTTCTTTTGTCTTGCTCTGGCATTTCACAGCATGTGCGTGTATCGCAGCTTCAGAAGATTGCGAAGCGACTCGAGTCTCATCCGCGCTCCTTAAACTTTGATGGCAGTAATGGATGCGCGTTTTGCAAGTTTAATGCGTTAAAACCAAGAGTTCCCGGTACTTAGGCTATTCATTAGGTTTTAATAGGCTACTTTGGTGTTACTTGTTAATTTAATTTGTATTTAATTTAATAACAATAATTTAATAATTAATTTAATTTGTTATCACCATATACTTGCTAGTAAGTAAAAAATAAGTCCTTATTTTATTAATTCAAATAAATGAAGGAATACAGATTAAAACAGGTCGTTTTGCAATAATTGCTAAAACGCAGTTGAGATGAGGATGTTTGTAGTCTCTGCATATAACATGGAATTAAATAGGTTTCTTTTATGTGCTTTCACTTCCACATGACATAAGTACAGAGTCCTCATATTGCACTAAAAATGAACACTGAACTATAGTTAGCTTTTAAGGTCAAGACTGGTCACAGCTCAAAGTAAATAGGGATACAGGGATCCTATGAACTATGAACAACAGCTGTCGGTGTTTGAGGGGGGTTGATTGCACCAGCTGTGTGTAACTTAATTAGCCTAGTTCCGATGTAAAGGGGCACAAAGTAACAACTTATATCCAGGGGTGCCCAAACTCGGTCCTGGAGGGCCGGTGTCCTGCAGAGTTTAGCTCTAACTTGCCTCAACACACCTGCCGGGAAGTTTCTATGCCTAGTAAGAGCTTGATTAGCTGGTTCAGGTGTGTTTAATTAGGGTTGGAGCTAAACTCTGCAGGACACCGGCCCTCCAGGACTGAGTTTGGACACCCCTGTTATACTATACTAAATATTTTTGTTTTGTACTATTAAACTTTTTGCTGTTTATGAATCTAAGGCTTAATCTTATTTTAAGTGATATTTAGTGACATTTATTTTAGTGAAATTTTTAAGATTAGCCAGGACATTAAAAACAGCAGAGCACTTTTAAATGTGATATGAAGTTCAAAGAGGAGTGACGTGAACATTCATTTTAACGTTTCATTAAATAAACATCTACTGAGATTGCATACATTGACTGAAATATGTTTGTTAAAAGTGAAATGTGTAATTTAGTGTGATGCGTTGAGAGATCCAGTCAGATAAAGAAATGAATAACAAATAACAAATGAATAATAGGCTACATTTGAGTAAAATGAGAATCAAACTTTTAATAAATCAAAGATAATTATTGACAGTGGAGAGGTGATTAATTGTAATCACCATTTTATTACCAATAAGATTAATTGCAAGAAAAAAATTAGTAAAAGAAGATATAGTATCTTGCCACCAAAGCAATGAACAAAAGGACCCCTTGATACAAAGCAGAAAGTGTAGAACTCATGATAACTAAACGCTGTTTATACCCTTGTTCTAATCAGAAAATATAAGGGTCATGCATCGTCATGCATCTTATGACTGGGTCAATGTGACCTGCCAATGCTGCATCTTATAGATTGTTGTGGATTATATATATATATATATATATATATATATATATATATATATATATAGGTCACATAAAGTCATGTAATAACCTAGAAGTATTAGTTAAACTATTAAAGAGGTTTAGATAAAGATAAAACATTGTGAACAATTTTGGATACAACAATGTCATCAAATTATGACATCCTTATTCATATCCATCTCTGCATATTACGCTAGGACACTTCATCCTTAGTAATTGATTCTGGTATTTTCTGGTTTATCACTTGTGAAGCTGTTTTGACACAATCTGTATTGTATAAAGCACTATAGAAATAAATGTGACTTGACAATCTCCTGGGAAAACTAGGTTGCTGTTGGAAGAGGTGTTCGTGCGGCCAGCAAGGGGTGCTCACCCTGTGGTCTGCGTGGGTCCTAACGCCCCAGTATAGTGACGGGGATACTATACTGTCAAACAGCACCGTCTTTCAGATGAGACGTTAAACCGAGGTCTTGACTCTCTGTGGTCATTAAAAATCCCATGGCATTTCTTGTAAAGAGTAGGGGTGTAACCCTGGTTTCCTGGCCAAATTGCCCCCCTGGCCTTTGTCAATCATGGCCTCCTAATAATCCCCAACCACTTGATTGGCTCTATGACTCTCTCTCCTCTCCACCT